TGATGTGCAAAGGAGAAGAGAGAGAGAGAATTGGACAAAAAGAAATATCTGAAGAGAAAATAGCCAAAAACATCAAAAACTTTAAGAAAGATATCAATAAATAGATCCTCAGTGAACTCCATAAACATAAAGAAAACATGTGCTTTCCCTCCATTTTCACCCACCTTGACCTCATGTTCTTCCATCAAACCATGCCCTATAGTGAGTGAACAAAATGCTAATTTCTTATAGATAAGTTTCCACCTGTCTTCCTCTTTTCTTTCCTTTCTTTCTCTCTCAAATTCTTATGTTCTTTTTCTTACGGTACCATGGATACTTGCTATCTTGGTCAAGACATGGTGACTCATTAATTTTATATCTATATCACAATTGAACATACTAAGAACATTAAGAACAGTTTCAAAAGAAAAAATTGGGAGGGAAATGGGCATTTATTGAAACCTTAAAATCTGTACCCCCATAATATGCCGAAATAAAAAAAATAAAAATAAATAAATAAAAACCTGATTAAAAAAAAAAAAAGAAAAAATTTTCCATTACCCTTGTTGTGTAATAGTATAGGGAGCTTTAAATTTTTAGTTTCAAACTATAGCTGCATCTTTCAGATTTGGCATCTAACAGTGACAGATGGCAATGTTAAAAATAAATAGAACATTCAAGTTGTTTATACTGTAGGCAAAGACAGTTCTAAAGTGTGAAACAAGCCCAAGGCAGAATGAATTCACATCATTCTTTTCAAAATGTATTAAGAATGCACATTTCCCTAAGCAAACTCTGCAATGCTGCTTATAAAAGAAACAATATTAGCTTTTGAAGGTGTGCTTGTTTTTTAGATGTCATTACTAATTTAGAATTAATAATGCCATGCAGGTCTAAGAATAGAAACATATTTTCCAGAACTATCAATAACTGATTAATTTCCCAGTAACTAAATGCTTCTGGAGGTTATCACTGTTAAAAGTATCACTTCATCATTCAAAATGTGAGAAAGTATTTTAACAGTTTATTTTAAGGCCAATATTAAGCTAAGTTTTCACAATTCAGTTTATAGTACATTTCTGGGTCAAAATTACCAAAGATGTGATTTAATAACTAATAAAAGTTAAGCTTACTCCACAGAAGGATGGGTAAAAATAATGTGTAAGAAAGCGCAGTAAATTTTTGATGTTGAATTTTAGTAATTTCAAAATAGTGACCATAAAAACCCATGATCATCATCTCAATAGATGAATAAAAAGCCTGTGAAAAAAATCCAACACCCTTTTCATGACAACACTCAACAAACTGGAAATACACGGGAGGGAACATTCTCCACTTGGTAATAGGCATCCATGAAACCTCCATAGCTAACATCTTAGTCAATGGTAAAAGAGTGGATGCTTTCTCCTAAGATCAGGAATAAGACCTGGATGCTTGCACTAGAGACTTCTATTCATCACTGTATTAGAGCTTTTCACCAGGGCAACTGGGCAAGAAAAAAATAATGAATTGATTGAAAAGGAAGAAATAAAAAAAAAATCTCTATTCACAGATGACATGATCTTATATATAGAAAATCCCAAAGAATTCATTAAAAAACTATTTGAACTAATGAAGTTCAGCAAGGTTTCAAGACACAAGATTAATATACAAAAATTATATTTCTAAGCACTTGTAAAGAATAAGAAAATGAAATTAAGAAAATTCCATTTACAACAGCATCAAAAAGAGTTGAATAGTTAAAAATAAATGCAACAAAAGATATATAAAAGTTATATTCTGAAAACTAGAAAACACTGAAAGAAATTAAATATCTAAATAAATAGAAAAACAACCCATGTTCAGGGATTGGAAGACTTAATATTGTTCAGATGGTAACACTTCCCAAACTGACCTCCAGATTCAGTACAGTCCCTTATCAGAATTCTAGCAGACATTGTGGAAACTGACAAGTTGATTTTTAAAATTCACATGGAATTGCAAGTGACCCATAAAAGCCAAATGAACCCTTAAAAAGAAGAATATAATAGGACTTATACTTCCCCATTGCAAAACTTACTATGAAGTAATAGTAATCAAGACAGTGTGGTACTAGCATAAGAAAAGATATAGATCAATGAAAGAATCGAAAGTCCAGAAATAAACCCATGTGTCTAAGGTCAATTAATTTTTTTACAAGGGTGTCAAAACAATTCAATGGGGAAGGAATAATCTTTTCAACAAAAAGTACTGCAACAATTGAATAACCACATGAAATCAAACCTCTGCCTCACATAATACATAACAATTTACTTAAAAAATGTATCACAGGCCGGGCGGTGGCTCATGCCTGTAATCCTAGCACTCTGGGAGGCTGAGGCGGGCAGATTGCTCAAGGTCAGGAGTTCAAAACCAGCCTGAGCGAGACCCCATCTTTACCATAAAAATAGAAAGAAATTAATTGGCCAACTAATATATATATATATATAAATCAGCCGGGCATGGTGGCTCATGCCTGTAGTCCCAGCTACTCGGGAGGCTGAGGCAGGAGGATCGCTTGAGCCCAGGAGTTTGAGTTTGCTGTGAGCTAGGCTGACGCCACGGCACTCACTCTAGCCTAGGCAAGAAAGCGAGACTCTGTCTCAAAAAAAAAAAATGTATCATAAACTAACATGTAAGATCTAAAACTAAACCTCTTAGAAGAAAATATAGGAGTAAATCTTCATGACTTTAGATTAGTCAAGGTCTTCTAAAATAAGGCACCAAATGCATAAGCAACAACAAAAAAATAAATGAGACTTTGTCAAAATTAAAAAACTTTTATGCTTCAATGGATAACATCAAGAAAATGAAAGACAACCCACAAAATGGCTGAAAATATCTGTAAATCATTATTATCTGATAAAGGACTCCTATTTACAATATATTTACAATTATTTACAACTCAATAATAAAAAGACAAATAGCACAATTAAAAAATAGGCAAAGGATATGAATAGACATTCCTCCAAAGAAGACAAATGGTCAACAAGCACATATAAAGACACTCAACATTACTGGCCATCAGGGAAATGCAAATCAAAACCACAATGGATATCACTTCACACCTAAGATGGCAATAATCAAAAAATTCCAAGTGTTGTCAAGGATATGGAGAACTGGAACTCTCACACGCTGCTGGTAGAATCATAAAATGGTGCAGTTGTGCCAATGGTACATCTGGCAGTTCCTCAAAAGATTAAACAGAGCCACCACATGACTCAGCAATTGCAGTCCTAGACATATACCAAAAAGGGATAAAAACATACATCTACAGAAAAACTTGTACACATAGCAGCCAAAAATGGAAACAACCCTAAATGAACAAATAAAATGTGGTATATACATACAGTGAAATATCATTCAGCCACTTTCTTTCTTTTTTTTTTTTTATGGAATTAGCACCGTGGATACTCAGCCATTTTTTAAAAAAAGGAATGATATATTGATACATGCTACAGCATGGATGAACCTTGAAAACATTATGCTAAGAAGACGATCACAAAAGACCATATATTATCATTCCATTTTTACAAAATGTCTAGAATAGTGAAATCTACAGAGACAGAAAGTAGATTAGTGGAGGTCTGGGAGGAGGAGAGCAGTGTCTGCTAATGGATAAGAGCTTTCTCTATGCAGTGATGAAGGTGTTCTAAAATTATTAGTAGTAGTGGCTGTACAACTCTGTGAATATACTAAAAAATAAAAAACCCACTGAACTATGTAATTTAAAAGGGCAAATTGTATGGCATGTGAATTATATCTCAATAAAGCTATGTTTTTTAAAGTTACTGATGCTGTATTTAAAAAAAGAAATCTACAGTCATCACAATTATTAATACTAATGAACATTTACCAGGCAAGTACCCGTTGAGGAAGTCTTTTTAATAAGCTTACTGAAAGAAGGATAAAATTGTCTTAAAAAGAACTAAGAATCCTGGCTCAAGTGGAACTGCAAAGAACACTGTTTTGAAGTATTTTCTCTACCAAGCAATAAAGTTTGTCTAAAATAAATAAATTCCTATGAGAAAAATGGAAACAATGACTCACTAACCTTTTATGAAGAAATAAGCTTTGAAAAGGGTTACTACTCTATAAATACTAATAAGCAGAGATTGTTTGATATATGCTTTGGGAGCAGAAGTAGAAAAACACTAAATAAATAAAGAATAAATTTTTTTTCCCTAACTCTTACATTCAAGTCCTAAGATTATAAAATATTTTAAGGAAAACAATTCAAATAAATTCTGAGGCCCAGAAATTGTTCTTCTCCTTTTATTGGGAGGAGGGAAAGGGTAGAAAAAATATAATATAACTGCAAAAAATAAATTTCATTGCTTCCTCTTTCCTCTAAAATTTTTTAGTCTTTGTTTTTATTTTCTTTTAAAAAATTTATATCAGATCAGAAATTTCTCGAATAGGTATTCTGTAGAACCTTGCCCTGATTAAATCACCCCAATAAACACAAAAATTTCCACTTTTTCTAAAACCCTGCAATACTGCTTTACTTTTTTGTAAAATATTCTACATATTTATGTAGCACTGTAAATATACTATATAAGTAGTAAGAAATGGTATTTATAATAGTTTGGCTGTTTATAGGCACTATTAAAATATAAATATAATATATATCTATTAATTTCCAGTTAATCATACCATCACCATGCTAGTTCTTTACACCTATTATTGTTTTTATCATTTTATTTATTAATAAGCTATACTCCTACTTATAATTATAAAAGCAAATAATGACAAAGCTTAATAGAGCACATAATTGTTTTAAATTTTTTAAAAATTTAAATGAATGTAGAACTTTGTGAAATGATCAACAGAAAAATAAGAACACATTAAAAATCAAATCCATTAAAATGAAGAATATATAAAATTAAGAATGTCAATAAATGCAAAGAATAGTAAAACTATCTAGGTATTTGGCTAGAAGAGAAAATCTCTATCTCTGAGCTACTGATAAAATAACCACACTAATGAAAAAGTGTACTCACCTGGTTTTGGCACTGAGTTGGTCACTGACTGGGGAACTTTTTGGTTAATTAACTCAACACAGTGTCCAGGGAAGAGTCCCACCTGAAGAAAAGCAATGAAGAGAGAATCTAAACCAGCAACCAGACTAATATGTGAACACTGCCAATTCAATTCCAGTAATTCCACAGTCCCTCCCAAATGGGCCTATTATTCCAAGATTCTAAATAACAGATGATGCCAATTACACAAACAAATAATAAAACAATCTGTTGCTATGAGTAGTCAAGAGTTATGTTATTTGTCCAAATATCTAAGTCTGCTTTTATAGTTTTAGTTTTTAATTTCCAAAACTGCTTTTTACATCAATTAAAAAATTGACTCTGAAAATAAGTTACGCATGCAGAAGGTAAAATTTTATCACTTAATAATTCACTCCGCTGAAATCTTAATATAGTTGTGTCAACATCTCTGTTGCCAACTTATGTTTACTGTCTTCTCTAAGTTTTTTTAATATCAATGCTAAACCACAATTCAAATTTTTTGTGAATGTTCTCTTCAGTCTTCCACAGGTTTTACGAAAAGATAACGTGACATGTGACTTTTTGAAACAAAACGGTCATGTAAAATCCTAGTATTCACTGCTGTAAGAAAGCTAAGAGAGCACAGATAAGAGGCAAAACAAAAGAGAAGAACCAGCCAATGGCAACAGACTCTGGCTTTGAAAAACACACAAAATTGACCTTGTAGCAAAACTGCTTACATGGCTTGTTAGTAACATTACTTGTTAGAATCCTAACAAGTTGTATTAGGAAATACTGAGTTCTAGATCATCCAGAGATACTGTATAGCCAAAAGAATAAATATAGAGATAAACAGCCTGGAAACAAAAGTAAAAAAGAAATCTTTACCAATATTTATAGATGTTTCCTTAGATAGGAATATAAATGGGCTGCCATGCAGCAGATGTTAAAGCTGAAACATGAAAACTACATCACTTTATATATCCCTCTGTTGACAGACTCCGGGGAAAAGTGGGATAGTCTTCCAAGAGCATGATTCATCATGAAGTTCTGAGCTGTGTAATTTCCATTTGTGTGGGATTATTTTCAAATACTCATTTGCTGCATTCTTATTTCAATTTCTAAATCAATATTCTATGGTCATTCTTAAAATTATGAAGATATAACTAGTTATCATGAGCTGAAAAAGGGTTATTACTATCAGTTTTGTTCAAAAGATTTGGATTTGGGATTGTTAAAGCCCCATGCACTGCCTTCCAAAATGATGCTTTAAGTATTTGTTTTATTAGTGAAATTCCATAGCATAGTCTACTCAACTTTCTATTTTACTAAATGAGTAGAAATTCTTCCAAGATTCGTTAGACCTAGGTAAGAATCAACTTGAAAATCTTCATTTTCTCTTATGTAAGTCAATTATCATGAAAGGGCTTATGAGGCATTGGTTAACAGGGTAGCCTCAAGAGTAAGCAGGTCTGAGTTCTATCCTAGATCTAGATTGTGTGTGTAACTTAGCTTGTTTGTGTTTTAGTTTCTTTATCTAAACGTGTGTGATACTAATAATACCTACCTCATAAGAGTTCTTATGAGAATTAAACAGATTAATGTAAGATGCATATAGTAAGCACCAGTTAAATGTTATCTGTTATTATTCCAGTGTGTTGGCCACCAGAAGACCTAGAGGGCTCTAGCTCCTCCATCAAATGGATGTGACACACATAATACCATCTTTTGCGTGTGTCTGCTTAAGTTTCCTCACTCTCAAATATTATTCTTTCATAAAATCCCATTTCATTTCACTGCATTAACATCTGCAATTTGCCAAAGAGAAAGACCAGGTTGTAAACTTAGCTCACTCATTTCCTAGGCTCTGTGATCTGGAGCAAATTGCTTAATATCTGTCTTAGTTTCCTAATTTGTAACATTAGGGATAACACTACCTATACCTCAAGAGTTTATGTGAAAGTACCTAACTTAGTTTCTAAACTTGAGTATCTTTCAGCAAATAAAAACAAGTTTTCCATCACTTCCTCACAAAGACTGAACAAAGCTTAATGAACTTTTTAGGGAACTGTATTTATAATAGTTACATCTTCACCTTTTAAATATGTCACAATATGTTAGGCTTAGGTATATAGGGGAAATGCTATTGTATGCTATATAGAGGTCTACAGCAGGCTCATCCAATGCTTAACTCCAATACCTGCCCTCTTGTCTCACTTAGTTATAAAGTGTAATATTACTAAACATTAGCTTAACTATCCAGTTTCCCAACGGCCTGTATCCAGGTGAAGCCAAGGTACACATAAACACAATGCTGCTGCTGCTACTATCCTTTCGTCTGTGAATTCAAGTATCATGATGGGATCTGTAGTAGCCATCATTTGATCATATATGAAAGGCCAAGAAGATCTAAGAAACTTTGCCTACCATCATTAAGCTGCTAACTCAAAAGTAGCAATCAGCTACCCTTCTTGTTTACTTTTCTGCTTCTTAAGCCAAAAAGCATTCCTAACATTCAAGGAGTCTCATTGGAAAGACTCTGTGGTTGACCACTTGAACTTTCAACTCAGTACCCTTAATTTCTTGCAATATTAATCTTCTGCCAAACCAATCCAACAAACCCCCAAAACTAAATCAATATATATCTATACTTGCACGTCCATGCATTGCTGGAGAAAAATCACATCCCTGAGGAAATGTGAACCAATGCAAATTCATAGTCTACTGTCCTAAAAATCCTACTTATGTTTTCTCACTTCCCAAACATTCTTAGAGAACCTACTCTTTCTTAGGGTTTCTGCCCAATCTGAACCCCAGACCTCTGCCAACACCATCCTAGCATAGTTGATCAGACCACAAGTCAATGAGTCAATTAGATTGTCTCTTATCATTTTGGAACTAGGTCCAAATCCCCATTGAGTTGTTAGAATTAGAAAAAAATTTTTCATAACAAATAGGAGGAGGAGACAGGCAGCAGCTGCTACATAATGAAAGAAGCAAAAACTAGAAGAAAATCCCTCAATTCCTTATTTTCCAGTTCCTGGAAAATTACTTCTGGTACATTTAGTTTTTTGCATTTGGTTCTTTGAGATATTCAGACTTATGTCTCCTCCCACTCCCCACTCTCCCTTTATGTTCCCCCCAAAACACCACACTGCTTCTGGTTTCTTTTCCTCGTTTATATTGTCCCCTTAAATGTCAACTCCCTAATTGCCATTAACAAATTATTCTTAGTGGTTAGATACTTGAGAGTCAGATACAAGGTCAGAAATCAGGTTATAAATCTGGGAGTCAGGTATATATATATGTTGGTACAGTTGAATACCAACATATATATATACTTGAATATATGAATAAGACAGCATGGGACAAAGAACATAGAATGAGAACACAGTCTAACGACAAACTTCAGAGGTCTAGTAGAGAAGGATGCCCTGGCAAAGGACACTGAGAAGATAGGAGAAACTTAAGAGTGTCCTGTCAAATCAGCCAAGAGAAGAAAGTGTCAGAAAAAGAGAAATCAGATACTGATGAGAGTTTAAGAGGAGTTGTTGAGAAAAAATGATTGAGGAATTAATGAGATGTAGCTCATAAGACCATTATTTTATTGTATAGCCCTATATTACTATATTAAAGACAGAAACAGGAGTTTGCAGGGTTTTGCCCTGAAGGAATGCGTGAACTCAAAGGTTTACTTATCAGAGGCTGCTATCAAGGGAGGGCTCTCATGGCTCCAGTAGGGATGTTTTCCAGGAAGGCTTCCCAGTACCTCAAAATCTGTGAGCTTCCCTGTTTCCCTGAAAGACAAGGCAAGGCAAATATGGCTCACAGGATGGGAGCCAGAGACAACGAATGTCCTTTGCCCAGAGACATGCCCCTGTGTTATAAACAACCTGATTTATAGACATGGGTTTTCTGCTCTTTCCTGACTATCTGCCTCTAAGTCCACAATAACTAAATCAAAGAAATACAGGTCACTATACCTCTTTTGTTATGCCTTTGTTAATTGACAACTCCCTCTTAGAACTCAGAGGTTAGTCCCTGAAAGACTTTGTACCTGTTTGTTCACCTAGATAGATTAGAACTTGTTAAAAGCCCTTTGAGAAGACTTTTGACCCCAACCTACTGCCTGTATCCCATAGCAACTGCATTCCCTGGTATGTAAATGTGTTACCCTGACAACTGGTAATTGATATCTGTGATTATAAAAACCTGTGTGAATCTAACCATATTGCTGGACGTTCATGGAAAATGTCCAGTCTCCTGAGTATCCTGCTGTTATATCTGATATTTTTATATAAAATTATAAACTATACCTTAGTCTCTATGTATTCTTTTATTCTATTTCCTATCAATTTCCTTATCTTCTGCAGCAACTCCTATCTAAGGGACTTGGCTCTGTGGGGAGAAGTAGCTAATCTCTTCGCGGGCCTGCCTCAACTCTCCCCCACAAGGAGTAATGAAGTATCCATTTTTTCATTAAGCCAGAAACCACTATCAATAAAAGAGAAGAAAACAAAGATAAAGGGTTTAAAAATTAATTTGTAATAAGCAAATATAATGATGGCTCTAGAATCTAGGCTGGATAAGGATAGTGGAGGCAGAAAGTGGGTAATAGGCGAAAACTGAAAGGAACAATGGAATGGACAATATTAAGCATAATATTGAGTACTGAGCATAATTGTTTACTATATAGTAAGTAACTGAGGAGACTGAATTTCTTTTCTCCATTAGTGCAATGAAGTATCAAATAAGACAAAATAGATCATAGTTGCTATAAAATTTTAATCAATTTGATTTACCTTTTCACCCTGGAAGCAATAAGAAGATAGAGAAGGTACTGTAAGTTGAAGGACACACAGATAAAAAGACACAAGAGTAGAAAAGAGCAACCCGTGCAATGAGGGGAGAAATAATAGTTAAATTAGGCAGGAACATCTGGTTTATAAAATAGAGTAGTGGAAAATAAGACTGGAAAATCCGAATAAGGTCAGAGACTATGGATGGTCTTTTATGTTATCACAAGAACTTTGAAGTTTCTTCTCTAGGAAATGAAAGAGATAAATTTTGAGCAGAAGAGAA